AATTTGAAATCTGTCGATGAATACATAACTAGTTTATGTTTATGAAAAAATAAATAATTCAATTTATTGCAGATTTAGGGTAGAGAGATGGGTTAAGATTTTAGAGTCTCTTGTTCCCATTCTTTTTTGCAATTGATTTGATATATGGTTTCCAAGAAAGATTGAAAGTAAGAGTTAATTCTAGAAGATGAAGGATGACTCATTGAGTACATTGCCGTTCATAAATATAGGAAGATCTAGATGATTACGATAAAGATTAGCTAAAAAAAAAAAGAGTTTTATTTGAGTTAAAGTTCACCAGCCACTGAAAGGGCTTTCAGTGGCTGAAAAGTTCACCAGCCACTGAAAGGGCTTTCAGTGGCTGGCGAACTTTAACTCAATTAAAAAATAAAACTTAATTTTTTTTAGCTTATCGTTATCGTAGTCATCTAGATCATCCATACTCTAGCAGAAGTGAGATTCTTTTCAAGCTCAAATGCCCCCTCCAAGCAATCAGAAAGTGTTGACTTCTTAACAAGACAAGAATAAATGATAGTATCATCAGCGAACAATGTCATCTTAGATGTAAGAATTTATTTTATAATATTTTTTAGGTGAGGGTGGTTTAAAAGAAGTTGATAGTTAAAAAGAATTTTATGAGGATAAATTTATATATAATAAACAGATGTTTAAACTTAATTTAATTATGAAAAACTTATCTAAGAACTTTTAAAAGTTGCAATGTGTTCAAATTTTTTTACATTTTGAAATGCAATGTTATCTTCGATCGAAGAATTATTTAGAATAACTGACAGGGTTTTCGTCAAAGGGGAGCAAAAAATCATTTCGAATAATTGAAACTATAAAAAGTATTTTCCAAAAAAAAAATCTGGACGTAGAATTTTCAACCTGTTGTAGAAAGGGTCCATATGCATATTAGAAACTTTAGAGGTTAATAAAATTAATATAAAGTTTTATTTCCATTAAAAATATGATTCAATCAATCAATATATATCTGAAATAGTTGGTAGATAAATTTCATGGTTGTTTACAAATAGTAATATTGTTAACATTAGGTAAGCACCTAATGAAAATAATTAAAAAATTTTATGTTGTGATTCATATAAGAATATAAATGTACAAATACACAAAAATATCTAAAAAAAAACAACAACAACGCAAACAGCGCATAAAAGTACATAATAAATTGAACCTACAAAAATACAATACAATTCAAATAGTACACAAAAATACATGACAATATAAACAATGTACAAAAATAATTTAAAGAAAACTAATTGAATTAAAAATTTAATTTAAAAAAAACTTTGATATTTTTGTTAGTGGTTTTTTATCAATGTTTTCCATTTTCGAACTTCTTTGGTAAAAAAAACAATTACAAATTAATAAAAAAGTTTATAATAACTTTATGTAAAGTTATAAATAAAAATATCACTTTTTTAACTCCGAAACTACACAGATGCTGGTAAGAAAGTAAATGGCAAATCTAGAATAATCTAAAATATATTTACTGTTTTATTAAGTAGTTATTAATATTTTTAAATAAAAGCAGTAAATATATTCTACTTTTTATTTTTAAAAAGAACAATTTTTATAAAGAATAATAGTATTTTGCATAACATTGACAAAAACAGTTAAACGCAAAAATTCTTTAATTCAAAGTAAAGGTATTCCCATGACTTTTTTTTTTTTTTTAATTTTTTTTTTTTAAGTTGATTAAGGTGCCCCAAGAAGTCCTTACGGTCTTATCACAGAGCACCGCGGAAGAGCATTTAATGGGAAGTTCACGCCTCCTTCCCAACCGATGTCGCAAAACTTGCCCAGAGGTGGGGTTTGAACCACTGCGCCACGGCTGCTTATATCGTTTGAAAATGACTTATTGTCGAGTGGACAATAAAGGGTTAATAAGTTGCAAAAATATATTGATTAAAATATAATTTTTAATTTAGGTGTATAAATGATTGGTCGGCTGTAAATGAAACCTTCTAAAATGGTGGGTTGTGCATGAGTTGGTTCTATCCTTTGTCTTAATTAACAGCCGGTGCTGCAGAAGTCGGCTGTAAATTATTCACACGAAGTAGTCTGTCGAAATAGGAATTCTAATGAATCGATTCTATATTAAAATTGAAAAGTTAGTCAAAGCATTGGCCACTGTCATTTATAAATATAAAGAAATAAGTTATATTATGAAAACAAGACCTATACTTGCAAATGTTTTTTATTTAGCTTATAGGTGTATTAAATAGAATTTTAACTGCTAGAAGTTAGTATGGTTTGAGCGGGCTTTGTAATTTTTTAATAAGAATTTATTTTTGTTGCGGCACTTCGACATAATTTTCGTTGGTTTTTCAGTTTTTGGAAAAGAGTAAAAACGGGTCATTTGAAATTGTTAAGAGTTCTAATTTTTTTTTTTTTTATTTCGACTTTTACTGGAAAAAGGTTATTTATTTTTTTAAAGCTGTCAAGAATTTTGAGGTGTATTTAAATATATAAAAATCAAACAATTTAAAAAAAAGTTTTTAAGAAACATTACCCTCATATTTGGGCAGAATGAAATATGCAAGTTGACGGGTAATTAAAAGAATACAAAATTTAAAAACGAATGATAACATCTAATAAAAAAACAAATAATAACCATTAAAAAAATATTTTTATTTATGTGATGATGTTGAGTCTTTAAGAGGTTCTAAAAGGTAGGTTATAAAAATTTATTGCTCAGTTAAGACATAGTTAATTAATAAAAGCCTTTTTTACCAAGCAAATTTCATTGAACCCAGTGGGCATTTCGATGTCGAACGAACGTCGAGCGACGTCGGATCTCGACGTCGGATCGTCGGTTTACGTTGGAAATGAAAATGTTATTTGACGTCGGATAAACTGACATCGCGCGACGTCGGCATTCCAATGTAAATCCAACGTGTTTTTTGAAAACTAAAAAACGTTGTCATAGGCAGGAATCGTATCTAGGTCTATTAGAAACTGCATCCTACGCGCTTACCACTACACCACAGGTATATATTAGTTAACGTGTTTATTTAGTAATTTATACTTGTAGCTATTTGGGAATTATTACTTTGATAAGAAATAATTTTGTTTAAATATTATATAAATATTAAAACGAATAGATATATATTATAAAAAATGTATACTCGAAAATGTTAATAGTTAAAAAAATATGCTAGTGCATCATACAAAACCTCATGATGTTTTATCAACCATTATTCAAACTTCTTTCCATTAATAAAAAACACGCTTAGTTCACATATTTATTGAAGAGCGCAATTGCACACATATTGTTGGGTTTGGATTAAATTTTCATCAGCGATGTCTTACGACGTTGTTCCGACGTCGTTTTAAGGACGTTGGATTGACGTCGGAAGACGTCAAAAGACATCGGAGTACGTTAATATTATGACGCTGCCCGACGTCTTTTTATCGACGTTGGATCGATGTCAGTACTGCGACGTTTTTTGGACATCTTTTATAAGATGTCGAAACAACGTCAAAATACATCGAAACGACGTCAGGGGATGTTGAGATAAAGACATCGCCCGACGTCATTTTACTGACATCGGAACAACGTCGGAATAGGTCTTTTGACATCGCTGATGAAAATCGTACGTAAATCCGACGTCGGATTGACGTCGGGTGCCCACTGGGAACCCCATAGTTCACCTTTTCCGCTTTTAAATCTGAAAAAAAAACCTTGACTGGTGTAAAAAGTTATACAGGAAACGTTTTAAGTTCAATGCCAGTAAATTTCACTTCCGAGAGTTTCATGCCCATTTTGCAAAAATTAATATATTTTGAAATTTTTTGTTCGTGCAACAATATATATGTTTTTTGCACTTAATTTAAGCAGAATTTTTTAAAAATAAGTTTTAAGTAAGCTCAACAAATATTACTTAAATACTAACGTGTAATTGTTGTACTATTCAGATTTTGTTATTTTAACAAGAATACTGCTTTTTCCACAACTTCCTGGTTAACAGTTTTACTATGAGAACAAAGGTAAACTTGTCAATGATTAATTTAAATGTGTTTGACGAGAAAAATTTTCATCCAAGTTCCTTATGTGGAAAGCAATTTGTAACTGTGGCATGCAGTCCTCTTGTTTCGTCACTTTATTAGTGACGTCGATCTCTATATCAAATAATGACTGTCGACCATGACTGTCGATCTCTACATCAAATAATGTTGCCAAAAAAGACTTTTGCCATTTATGAGAAAACACAAATACCGATGTCTCTTTTGACCAGTTCTTGCTGCCTCTAAATGTTCTAAAAAATTTCTACTGTGGTGCCAAGATAATAATGTAAAAATTGTTTCTAAAGATGCGAATCCTCCAAATCATCCTGAACAGCGCAAGATTTTTGGGAAATTGTTAAAGGAGTTCTTCGTATAACAGGTGGAGTAACAAAAAAAAAAAAAATTTGCAAAATGATGGCATCAACCCGTTATAAAATTTGATCTTTTGTCAAACAGCCCATCAAAATTAAGTTGAAACCCTTATTGATAAAAACAAATTTAATATGAAAAAAAAAAATGAAATAAAATGCATTTATGCTTTTAGAGAAATCTTAATTTAAAAATTTAAAATTAACTTATGAATAGAAAATATCAGTACAACTTATATTACAAAGTACGATGTAGCATTTTTAAAAACTCTCCATAAAGCAAATTATTAATATCAAAATTCACAACAATCAAATAAATAAAAATTCAAACTTATTAATCCTTAAACAAAGTTTTTTTTTTTCTATTTATATAAAATGTGTTTCCGCTTTTTTACAATAATATTTTCTTGTATAGTCAGATTATATATATATATATATATATATATATATATATATATATATATATATATATATATATATATATATTATATATATATATATATATATATATATATATATATATATATATATATATATATATATATATATATATATAAATTGTTATATAAATTTGCTTAATTAAAATAAACATTAAAGTCTTACCTCCAACGCAGCCTGCAAAGAATCCTTCAACACTCATAGTAGCTACAATAAAAAACAACAAAATACTTTAACGCTCACGCTTTCTGTTAGAACGTTGAACATTTCTCAGTTCTAAAAATAACTTGGTAATGCGATGCTTTATTTTGTTAACATAAATATTTTAAATTGTTTATATTTTACCTATTGTACGCGCGTAAGTCGTTAAAGCGAAAACCTAAGACTTTGCACTTGTTTTTATTATAGCAGTATTTCAATAAGTAACCAAATATGTTCAGAAGGTAAACATAGTTACTTTTATAAAATATTTGTGTTTTCGTCTTAGGACGATATTTACTTAACAGCAAAAATAAAATTTTTATTGTCTCTTATCATTTTACCTTCCATGTAATTTAGTTAAAAATCAACTAAAACAAAAAAATAAATACACTTTTAAAAGAAATATATTTTTATATTTTGAATTCTTTTAGAAAATTTTTTAAAAGAATTGAAAACGTAAAAGAATAAAATTTTTTTACAATTCGAATTCGAGTTATGATTCATTTTTACTTTAATAATTAAAATTTTGAAGAAGAATAATGCATTTATTGAGAGATATGAATTTGTATTAGATTCTATCACGTATATAATTCTATTTAGAATATGATATAATAGGAGTTTTAGATTTTAGAATATGATATAATTAGAATATGATTATAATAAGAGTTTTAGATTTAGAATTTGATATGATAAGAGAAACAATGATTTGAGAAAAATCTCAAATCATTGTTTCTCTCCTATCCTCAGTGCAGTCTCGCCTATACTCAGTGCAGTCAGCAGCTCTCAACTCACTGACATGTTTAGATTACGTCATTAATTTAAGAAACTAAAATTCAAAAATAAATTAAGGTGGTGAATCATTTTCAAATTTCAGATATTCAAAAAAATCATTTTTTCAATTATTAATTTATTAACAGGGCCACCGAGAGGGAGGGCTTAAAGACAAAAGACAAAAAAAAAAAATCATAATGAATTTTAATTACAAAAAAGTAAAAGTATTGATTTTATTGATAAGGTAAAAAATAAATTTGCTTGGTGACGTGCATAGCAATTAACTTTGTTTTATTTAAATTACCAAAGAATTTTAGTTTTATTTGACTTCTTTTTTACATTGACAACATTGAAGTAGACGCTAGGTATTATCCAAAAAAAATATTTATTTGTTAAAGAAATATTTATTTTTTAAACTTTTTCAGGTTGTTAAAGAAAGAAATACATCTCATATATACTTTTATGATTATTCTGAACAGAAATAGAAAATTTAATCACAATTTTACATAGTAAAAAGAAAAAAAAGCTAAGTTCAACTTATTTGCAAAGGTTTAACAACTCCCTAAGGAGTGTTAAAAACTCAACGTAAATCAAATTTAACAGGATATAATTGATGTACCTAGAGTAAACTCTGTTAAAAGTATTTTTATGATTCTTATTCGGCTGCAGCAATCTCAATCGTCAGCATTTGAAAGCCTATTGTAGCTTTTCTTATCAATATTAAACTTTTTATATATAAGTTTCATTGATTAATGTAACAAATAAATAAAAATCTAAGATCTTTTTGATTTCAGCTGCAGTTCTGCTAAATGAAAGATCCTGTTTTACAAGTTTTCGGATACCATACGTTCAGCTCAGATTAATTATAATTAGATACAACATATAAAAAATAATTGCAAAACTAAAGCATTTTGCTGTTTTATAGCCGTTCCTTAAGATCTAACCAGAATTAAATACAACTTTGGTGTAAGATGACATTATAATGATAACAATTTTTGCTAGAAAAAGAAAAAAAGAAAAAAAGTATTTTTATTATTAACTTTAAAGAATCTGTTTATTAATCCTAATCAGTGAGTTTGCAAAAGTTTTATTTAATCCAGATTACAGATTTTTTTCAAATCATAAATATAAAATAAAAGAAATAAAAATACAGTCATTAACTTGCATAATTGTACTTACGTTTAATTTAAAAATATGCATCTTTATAGGGGCGCCTAATTACTGCCAAGCCCCGGGCTTCATAAAAGCTCTCGGCGGCCCTGTTTATTAAGCAATATAATTATCGCAGTTACGAATTTTGAGTTGGTTTTGAAAGTTGGTTTTGGTCAATGAAAAAAAAAATAGCTAACTCGATTAAATATTATTTTTTAACAAAGTATTTGATTTTTTCATTGCAACGCTTTGTTTATTCCGTTGCTGCGCAGCTAAAAAGAAGTTATACAATAAAACACTAGTTGTGGTGATTGCAATTTTAAATTTAATTTTTGTTTATCAATTTATGTAAACAAGGTTTTTAACAAATTTTCCAATTACAGTTGCTGTTTTAGTATCACTCTACTTTTGTCCCATCACTTTGATTAAAATAAAAGTAAAAAAGACAAAATAAAAAAAAGGATAGTAAGAAATTTAGATTCTTGCTTGATTTTGGCAAGTTGAAGCTGGTCAAAAAATCGTAGTTCGTCAATGGGGCAGGAGAGGTCATCAAATTTGTCAAATTGGTTGATTGAATATGCTGTGGCTAATTGCATTAACTATGATGACATCATTAATGATTCTGCTTCTTCGAATACAAGTAAAATTACTTTTGAAAACAAAAATATTTGCACATATATACACTACATACAGACATACATTTATTGTTATGATAGTTTATACTTAATAACCTACTCTTGCTTATTTTAAATCAGTTTAATATGTTTGTTATTTTTTTAGATTGTAGTTTTTTGGTGTTATGGTCTAGTCGTCACTCTTTTGTCTGTGACGTCACTCTATTATTTTTAAGAATAAGAGTGACATCTAGGTCAATGGAAAGTTACGAAGTAACACGGAAAAAACGGTTTTTTAAAGTCAATACTATTGACTCAATACTTTTAAACGTTTTAAACTTTTGAGCGTTGAAAAGTTTAAAAAGTTTTAAATCTTAGAAAGGTTTAAATTTGATTTTTTTTTATTTTATTTGAATTAAATTTTAATAACTTGTATTTATATTTATAATGATACATTTACTTGCTATTTTATTTATACGGGTAGTATAATATATTGTACTACCCGCATAAATAAATTGGCGAAGTAAATGTATCATTATAAATATAAATACAAGTAAATGCATTTTTATGAATATAACATATATTATATTTGCAACAAATAATTTATAATTTGTGGTTGTTAAATTTTTTACTTTATTGATTGTAAAATATAACTGAAATTAACATGATGGTAAGACCATCGTCCTCTGCTTGCTTCAGTCATATCTTTTACGTTTTTGTAAAAAAGTTATGATTTGTTAAAAAAGTGATGACAAATAAAAAAAAAAAAATTCAATTAAAAAAGGTAAATAATTATAAAATATATTAGACGCAGGGCCGCCAAGAGAAGGGGGGGCAATTGAAGTTGTTTGCCCCGGGCATCACAGTCTATGGGCATCACATGCCTTAAAAAAAAATTATGGAAATGATAAAAAATTTAGCTGATAACGTATTTAAAGATTAAGCAATTTTTGTGTATTAATTTCTTTCTCCTTTTAAACTTTGTTTGCATTTAAAATAGGATAATTATTACTTTACAAGGTTTTCATTATCCATTTGAACATACGCGTTTTCATTGGCCTTTTGTTCGCATGATAGAATAAAAAGCGTTAAAAAAAAAATTTTCTCATTCAACGTTTGTAAAAGTCTAACTTCTAATAGTTTAACTTATTTTTGCTTAAACCTTGCGTTCCTGTGGATACTTTTGAGCATATGTATATTTTTGACTCGCTTGCATTTCGTTCCGACTATATTTTGACAAGAAACTTATCTTCAGTGGATATTTTAATTGTAAGTACTGACTTTTTCTCTGCAATCAATAACACCAAAGTATTATAAAATTTTTAATTTTTAAAATTTAAAAAGTTAAAATTCTTTGTATCGTCATAAGTTTTAGCATGAATAATCAAAGACCTCCACGATTGAACCAGCTGTCTGGAGCTGCTGGGAGAAAAAGAGCGATGATTCGGGAAAAAAACGAAAGCAAAAACAAACGAACGCTTTTAGATTGCGTTCGTTGGACAAAAATCGAAGATAAATGCAAGCAGGTAGTTAAACTATTTTTAAATCTTGTGACGTTCATGAAAAAATAATTAGAATAATTCTGTTTAATACTTCTTTATAGTTCAATGATATTGAGATCGGTATCAATGACTCTAATGAGTTGCCAGACCATAATTCTGACAAACTTTTTCTTGCCGATGACATCGATGACTCCCAAAAAACATCATCACATTTAAAAAAGGATCAGTTGGATTTTGTACTTGATTGTCACAATGACCAACAAATTTATAAAAGTGATCTTTCTATACCAATCTCTAACGATCCTGCACTATGGAAATCAATATCAGACACTGATCGAACGAATATAATTCTGATGGGACCTTCTTCAAATCCTAGCAATTTTCCAAGAGATCAAAAAGAACGCAAATTCCCTACTTATATCTTTTTAGAGGAACAAAGAAACGGAGAAAAAGTTAGAAGAGATTGGTTCATTTGGAGTAAGGCTGTGGCATCACTCTTTTCTTTCCCTTGCTCCCTTTTTGGATCGCCTAACTTAACCAGACCCGGTGTTCAATCCAGTTTGTTGTCTTGGAATGGATGTAAACATGGAAATTGGAGAAAACTTTCAGATCGCGTTAAAAGTCATCAACAAAGCGATTTTCGCCGTAACTGTTATCTCCAATGGAAAACAGCTACGATTCACTTGAAAAGTCAAAAGTCCATTGAGCATTAGTTAGAAAAACAAATTGGAGATGAAACAAAGCGATGGAAAGTAATTTTACAATGCATTCTTGACGTCACAATTTTTCTAGCTTCAAGGAACTTAGCTTTTAGGGGTAAGAATATTGTTTTTAAATTTTAAATTATATTTTGCATTATTTTATTTGTATTTTAAAAATCAAAATTACAAGTTTTAATTGGATATAAATATGGATTACTATTTTGATTATTTTTTGTTTGTAATTAGGATCCAATCAAAAGTTGTTCAAAAATGGGAATGGAAACTTCCTTGGAGCGCTCGAATTAATTGCTCGCCACAACAAAACATTACAAGATCATATGCATCTTATTGCTAATCACCAAGAAAAAGAAAAACGCATGCAAGCTCATTATTTATCCTGGAAATCAAAAAATGAATTTATCAAGGAATGCGACAAATTAGTGGTTCGAGAAGTTATTCGAGAAATCAAAAAATATATTTCACCATCATCACGGACAGCACTCCCGATTCGTCCCACAACGAGCAAATAACTTTTGTTTTTCGTTTTTTGCGTTTCAATGATAATCAGCTGTGGGAGGTCAAAGAAAGATTCCTTAAGCTAGAAGAACTTGAAAAGAAGAAGGGATCTGATATAACAAAGTTGATATTGAATGTGTTGGAAGAGAATGAGCTCGACATAAAAAATTGTCGCGGTCAAGGCTACGACAACGGCGCTAATATGGCAGGTATTTACAATGGAGTTCAAGCGTTGATAAGACAGAATAATCCACAAGCAATTTTCATTCCTTGCTCTGCTCACAGTTTGAACTTATGTGCAGTACACGCTATTGAATCATCGGCTCCTGCAAAATCCTATTTTGGAAGTATTCAAAAGCTATACAATCTGTTCAGCAGCAGCCCAGTTTGTTGGAAAATTCTTCAGGAGGAGACAGGCTAATTATTACATAAACTTTCTGTTACACGATGGAGTTCAAGGATTGAATCAGTTAAGCCACAAGCAAAAAAGCCAAGAGAGATCTTGGAATCATTACATCATCTAAAAGAGTTAGACGTCCCAGGCGAAAGTAGTAATGAAGTGCATTATCTTATTAAATAGATGAATTCTTTTGAATTTGCTGTTTTCACTACTTTTTGGTTTAAATGTTTGATGGCAGTTAACAACGTGAGTCTTCTGCTTCAATCCACTCAACTCACTTTCGATGATAAAGTAAAGATTCTAAATGGCCTTTTGATGGATCTGGATTAAATCCGTCTGTCTTGGGACCTGATTTTGATAGAGGCAACAGAAGTTGCAAAGAACTTGAAATTTGATAAAATAATGTTTACTGTGAAGAGAACGCGAAAAAAGATCATCCCAGATGAAACTGCTGGTTACAACCACAAAGAAGCATCAAAAAACTTTGAGTGTAATGTCTTCAATGTTGCACTCGACAATCTGACTAGCAAGAAATGTAGCAAGTTTTCCTTCCTTTGGTCTTTACAGAAATCTCAAACAGACCAAGAACTAGGTTTAAAAGCTGAGAATCTGGCTAAACTTTACCCAGAAGACTTATGTAAAAACGAATTTTCTGATGAAGTTCGGCATTTTTTTTCCGTAAGAAGAAATATTCTAGCCAGCGAAAAGCCTGTCGAACTTCTAAATGAAGTTTATGCAAAGGGGCTGTATTCAATATTTCAGCAAGTGTGTGTTTCTCTTAGAATCTTTCTAACATTGCCCGTTTCAACATCTGAAGGAGAAAGATCTTTCAGCAAGTTAGCTATTATCAAAGATTATCTTCGTTCCACAATGGGCCAGGAGCGATTGTGCTACTTGATGATCCTTTCAATCGAATCAGATTTAGCCATTAACGTTAATTATGAAGAAGTTATTTCAAGTTTTGTTGCTAAGAAGGCCCGGAAGATGTGTTTATCAATTAAGAATTGATTTTATCATAGTTTGTTTTTGCAAACCAAAATTAAATGTGATTTTAGGTTTTTTATGAAAGTAAACTATATTAATTTATTTGCTATTTTAAGACCTGAAGTATGATAGGGCATCCATTAAACTTTTGGACCCGGGCATCACAAAAGCTCTGGGCGGGCCTGATTAGACGTTTTTTGTATGTCAACCTGTTTCTCCGCGCAGCGGCCTTGTTCGTCTAGGTTCGTTCTAGGTTTCAGAGTTAAAAGTTAAGAGAATGAACAAGCAGGATAATATTTAACATAATATTCTTTTTCCTTTATAAAATTGACATTTGAATTTTTTCAATAAAAATTGTTAATGTTTTTTATGTTAACTTTTGTTAAAAAACATTTGTAAAGGCTGCCTAATATAAATTTTCGTTATTGTTGCATTTTTTAAATTTTAGATTTTTTTTTATTTTATAAGTGTCGTTGATTTTTCGTCGATTTTTTTTATAATGAATAAGAAATTGGTGGCTGTTGATAAAATAAACCAAACCCTAAAGCTTTTTTCTCTAATGATGTGTCCACCAATCGGGTACATTTCGTTCACGTGCGCTCATAAACCATTTATGTACAGCTTTATTAATGGAATCATGCTTTCCCAAACTTAACTTTTGTCTCCAAATTGACCTGACTCATACTTGCTAATTATATCTTTTTATGCGTAATCCAGTGAGATAAAGTGTTTTGAGGAACATTGAACTTTTTTGCAACATTTTTTTTAGTTAATCTATTTTCTAAATCTTTAAGAGCCAGATATTTTTCTTTGTCAGAACTGTTTTCTTTTGTTCAGAATTAAAATTTCTTCGAATAAGCAGGAAATTCGAATAAGTACTAGTTCCAATAACCGGGAGTTTACTATATATTCAGAGCGAAGCTAAACTGACTAAATTTAACAAGCAACACCATTTAAAACCAAATAAGCACAAGATAGTACTTTTATTAATTATTTAAATATCATTTTATTAATTGTATTTTTTTTTAATTAAACTTCTCAAAATCAGGTTGTTTCAAAATGGGTCAAATTTTTTGGTTTCTTATAAATTGATACTCTAAAAAATTATTCTATCAAAATCGAAGTTTTAAAGTTCTATTTTAACATTTTTTTTTTTAAATAATATCCGGGACCCGTTTAATGTTCGAGGGACCCGTTTAATGTTTGAGGATCTGTAGCAAGCCATAAAAATATTTTTAGTTTAACACATTTTTAAATCTAGTGTTATTTTATTATTTAGAACACATTAATGAGGTGCCAGCAAACATTTATGAGGTGCCAGCAAACATTTATGAGGTGCCAGCAAACATTTATGAGGAACATTTATGATATTTATCAAATGTTTTGATTAAAGAACCAGCTAAGAGAGATAAGGAATTAGATACACAAAAATAAATAAAAAAAATCGCAAAATATAATTTAAATTTCTATACTAAATTTATTTAACAAAAACTAACTTTTAAGTATACAAATAAAATTATGATATAAAATAAATAATTATAGCTCAAGTCATAATTATTCAATATCGATATCATATTGGCGTGATTTTTTTTCTTTGGCAGAACAGAGTTTGTCAGTAGTATCAACATTTAAATCTTCCTGCATTTTTCAAGGATAATTTCTGGCAAAGAACTAAATAAGTTGATCACCAGCAAAATTCAAACTAGAAAATTCAAATATCAAGATTATTAAAGAAATTTCTTTAACTAAACCTCATTAATACAATATATAATGCACTCTCTCTTTAAGTTTTTTTACTTCTATATAGACACTCAATATGCTGATACCTAAATTACTTAAATCTTTTCTAACAAACCTTTAATAGGATGCTTTTTTCTACTTAAGACTATGTCTCCTTTTCTTTTCGTGTTAAAATCACACCACACAATCATCTGATCATCTATTTAGGCAAATACCAATAAATACTAAAGTTTATTCAAACATAAAAGGATATTGTTTGTTAGCCTCTAAATAAGTAGCAAAAATATATGTTTAAACCCCACAATATGTATGCATAAAGCGCATCTTGGAAGCTTTTATTCCTTTTTGAATAAAAGCTTGGAAGCTTTTATTCTTTCTCTTCAATATTAAGTCAAGGCTCATTTTACTCCGCATTTTCTATAATCTTAAGCAGTTGCTTTATTAAACAGTAATTATTATTTTTTTCTTTTTTACAAGAACATTTCTCTTATAAAGAAATGCCCTTTTATTATTCCAAGAAGTCAATGCGAAAAGGTCCTGTCTGATTTTAAGTTATGTCATTTAAAATTTACTTAAATCAGATGTTAGGATCTAAAGACTTTTGGTCTTCAACATTTTTTTAGTTAATTCACTTTTAATCACTTTTAATTCACTAATTCACTTTTAATCTCTAATTCATGGGTCTTACTTTTTACTTCTTTGCAGAATAAGGTAGAGTTTTTTGCAAAAAAATCTTATTCTAATTCAACTCTTGAATTTAATGGCCACACTCTTCCTGCCAGTTAAACAGATTAACCCATTGTTAAACATTAAAATCACTATGGCTTTTTAATGCTAAAGTTAATTATCAATTGAACACTTCTACAGTTTGTGCTCCAAACAAGATTTCCATCACAGTTTTAAAAAACTGTTCTCCCGAACTCTCTACAGTTTTAGCTAAACTTTTATAAAGTGTTAAACAAGTTGTTTTTTTTCAAAACTCTAGCAAAATACTTCCCAACTATACTACAACTAGCCTTCACTCAATTATTAGTTTCTTAATATAAAGTATTTGAGATTAATAAATTATTTCTTTCTAACTGCAGAATTAAAGTTATTTTTGAAGGCCCACATTCCAATTTACTTCAATTAACTTTAAGGGCACAACAAAGTTCTGTCTTTGCTCCTGTTATGTTTCTTATCTACAATAACAATCTTCATGAAAATTTTACATCTAAAGTACCTCTATTAGCTAAGAACTCAACTTTATACTCTTATCTTGACAAAAAATCTTCACTTTTTGATTGCTTAGAACAAGCGTCGGTTTTTAATCTGATCTCTTTTTGTAACAGCCTAAGACTTGCAGTGGCTTGTGGATTTAAATTTTTTAACTCGGATATCGGCTCCAGATCTCGCGATTTCCGCGTACCTATTTATATTAACTTTTACATATTGTTTGCACGAATTTTTTAAAATAATTTTAATATCTATTACAGAAAATTTTATTTATTAGCAGTACAAAACACATTTATATATGTATATACCAAATATAATATATATATATATATATATATATATATATATATATATATATATATATATATATATATATATATATATATATATATATATATATTTATATATATATATATATATTATATTTGGTATATACATATATGAGTATTTATTTGGTATATACATATATGAGTGTATTTATATAGAATTTTATTGCTATAAATTTAAAATAATTGTGAGTATTTTTGGATAAAACATCAAATTATAAAAACATGATACAAACATTACTTTATTTCTAATTTTGTACTTATTTGAAACTTGAAGTTATTTAAGTTATATTTATTTAAGTTATACTCTCACCATTTTTAGATTTTTAGTAAGAATTTCATTGTTATAAATTCTTTTTCTAAGATTTTAAAATAAAATTTTCACAATTGCATGGTTCTTACATAAAATAAAACCACAAGTAAAATAATTTTTTGTGTACAAAATACAACATAAACACATAATGAATCAAAATTTTCAAAAAAATTTACTTTATTAAATCAAAAAAAAAAAAAAAAATCATAATCCACTTCATTATCTCATCATCTCATGAGATAATAAAGTTGGTTATTATTCCTTGATTTAGTAAAGTAAATTTCTTTGATAAGCTGAAACATTTTAAGTAACTGCTGAAATTATGATAATAACAAAACTATTTGATTCAGTGACAGTGGTGAAGCTTTAAAAATCGATTAAAAACTTTTGCCACGAAAATCTCATTTTTTTGATCAACCAGTGCTATGTGTTTTTTTTTTATTATCAATACAAATTCCTAATTCTTATATTCAAAAATAACCATGGTGATTATACGCAAAAATAACTCCGCAGAGGAATTAAATGTATTATATTAAATTAAGACATGGATTAAAATAAAATTCTACTAAATCTCTCAAATATGTTTATGCTTTTGGTTATACTTTAAAACTGCATGTCACTGACATGTGAACTACATGTCTAATGTTAATTACTATTATTTCTAAACATCTTTATAGAAAAAAAATATTACCGTCATTTTCAATTTATTTTTATTATTACTATTATTAATATTATTGCTACTACCATTATTATAGTTGCAGCCATAAAATATACATACAATATATACATACAGCGAGCAGGGAAAACATCTTTCTATAAACAACCAGTTTTATAAATATTTGTTCCGAATTTTATTACCAACCAGTGATATAGTCTATTTTGAAAGAAAGTACTTTTGAGTAGAAAGTTACTTGCTTAGGTAGTTCGTTCCAGTATTTTGCTGATCTATTACATAGTTGGTTGTGTCTAGCTAGACAGTTTGGAACATATTCACGCCTTATTTTTAGACGGTGACTACGTGATTTTGGTTGATATATATTATTAATTATATCAAATCAATGTATTAGTTTACAGATTTGGGTAAGATTGGATTGTAGGCGCCGAAACTCAAGTGATGATAGATTTAGTCTTTTTAGTCTTTCGTTGTATTGAAGATTTCCCAAGCTTAAAGCCCATTTTGTTGCTTTACGTTAAACAGATTCAACTAAAGTTACGTTAGTTTTTAAATACGGGGCCCAAACAGACACTAAATATTCAAGGTATGGTCTTATAAACACTTTTTATATTTTGTTATCAATAATGGTAAGTTATTTTTTTATCAATAATGGTAAACGTGTTTTTTAGCATACCAAGAATTTGTAGAGATTTGGAGACAACTGATTAAATATGTGTGTTCTACTTGAGGTTAGATGTAAAAATGACTTCTAAATAACGCTCTTTAGGAGAACTTCTTAGGCTTTTATTTATACCTTGGATATTTTGCAAAAAGTAGCAGTACATAGGATTGATTTAACCATAATGGAAAACACTGCATTTTGAAATGTTTAATTCAAGTAACCAAGTGTTTGACTAATCGTATACTAAGCATTGACAATCCTGCAGATCAACAAAATTAGTCTAACATAAAGTTTTAGAAAAAAGTTTAGTGTTGTCGGCAAATATTTTAGAAGTCTCAGTAAGTTGCGCAAGATCGTTTGTGAAAAAAAATTAAGAAGAGCGGGCCGAGAACAAAACCTTGAGGAACACTAAGAACATCAACCTGGAAAGAGCTAGTACTGTTTATTGTAACGCGTTGCTTTCTATCTACTAAAAAGGAATTAATCTATTGTAGTAGTTTGCCGTTTATTTCGAATGGTTTAATTTTAAAATAAGTCTGTTGTGAGGTATGAAATCAAAAGCTTCAGCAAAGTCGAGGTCGATTACATCTATAAACTGGTGCGATGCTAGGCAATACGAAATAATTTCAAAAGTCTCTATTAGATTGGTACGCAAGATTTATGATGAAGGAAGCCATGTTGATTTGTAGAGAGCAGAATGTTATCGTTGATGTGCTTCAAGATTTTATTCTTTACAGTTTTTTCAAAGATTTTGCACGCAACCGAGGTTAGTGAAATAGGTCGATGTTTTCAGGAAATAGTTTGTCTTCCTTTTTTTATGGACCGGACTAATATTTACAAATTTCCAGAGAGTTAGTACTATTCCAGAAAAAAGATCAGTAAGATCTTATCGTCATACATTATCGTCTAGTGTAAACAAAATATTAGTTTATAAAGTTATACTATAAGTACAACAAAATAAAAATGAAACAAACATACATATATGACTTTGTAGCGTAGGTAATAAAGTTTAGTATTTCCAAAATATGAATATTATTGTCAAATTTTGATAATACGGGAGAGTAAAAGATTTTTCAGCTTAATTTTAAAAAGATACAAAGAAGTAGATAGATAAAAATTAAAATTAGGCAAAACAATTTTATTCCGAAAATGGGGTGCACGATAATCAATGCAAAATTGGTTAAAATTTGTTCCACAAAAAGGCTCATATAGAAGGTTGTTATTTCTTAGAGATTATTTATTGGTAGGTTTCAAGGTAATTAAATCATTAAAAATATTTATTATACAAATATAAAATATTAAAAATATTAGGTTCGTAAATATTAAATATTCTCATTTCAGAAAAAAGTTGTTTAGAGTAAGAAAAACAACCAGCAAAATTAATTACACGTATACCATGTTTCTGACGGTGATAGAGAGATTGTAACTTTTTCAGTGCTTGCTCAAGCAATATTTGCATAACTCATATAGCTATGAATGAATCCATAATAAAGTTGGAATAAAACTTTTTTATTTATATAGATTCTGACCTTATAAAGAATTTCAATAATTTTGGAAATTTTAGAACGTAATCAATAATATTGATTATGTTGGTACTAAAGTTGAAAATGAGAACATAACATAAAAGCAACATACAACGTTAAAAAAATATCGCGTTTTTTAAGGAAATTTCCGGCAGCAGATTTTCCAGAAAGTTTCCGTTGTTTTACGGAAAAATAAAGTGTTGAAGGAAATTTCCGTACAAATTACGGAAAATATCTATCATCGTAATAACAGATATTTCCGTATTTAAACGGATATTTCCTTCAACACTTTATTTTTCCGTAAAACAACGGAAACTTTCTGGAAAATCTGCTGCCGGAAATTTCCTTAAAAAACGCAAAATTTACTTTACAAAAAAACTCTTCTAAAAATGTATTCCTTAAACGATAAAAAAAAAATTAATAACATAAATATATTCTGCAATTATTAATGTCATAAGTTGCTCTAAACATTGCATAAAAAAAAGTTAAATAAAAATTTATATATATATATATATATATATATATATATATATATATATATATATATATATATATATATATATATATATATATATATATATATATATATATATAGATATTATATATATGCTTTTAGAACAAATAACTGTTATCTTTCTTTCTTTTTGCGTTTTTTCTCGCATTCTCTTGATTATAGCCAAACATATCTCTAAACACAAAATAAATTACATAATCATGACAGATTATAAATTAAAATCTGTGAAATTATGAAAGATAAGCATATATTGTGAGCCTTCTTTTACTTTTTGCATAATCATATTTTTTCTTTTCAAATTTTTTTAAGCTTACCTATTATTGTATAAGCTTTCGCATAAGCATTTTTCGAAGATTTTATATGCTTATAATATAAACTTTAGCTGCTTTGAAAATTTTGTTTTTACCTTAGAATCAACACCAGTAGTCTATTAACATTATGATCGTATCTTGTGTTCTTGATATGATGGACCATAAATAAATTCATCAAATTGTAGACCACAAGCAAAATTATCAGTTTAAAAATAAGAATAAAAACATTATTAATATAATATAATAAAAATTAGTTTAAAAAAATTAAACGAACTCTTTAACTTTTTATTAAAATATAAATATTATTATTACACTTATATATATATATATATATATATATATATATATATATATATATATATATATATATATATATATATATATATATATATATACATTTACTATTTTTCTCTCTACATAGTATCCAGATTCAATACAATGCTTTTTCAGTGCTTCCAGATTCCATATTTATACTTTATGCTTTGTGGATTTTAACTTTTTAAACTTTCCGTATTATAGCCAACCATATACCTAACAACACAAATATAAATGCTTTAATACAAATGAGTGAAATAACAAATGAAAATATAAATACAGCAAAATTGTAAATCTTTGTCCGGAGTTTAAGACATTCAATTCTTAAAACAAAAAATATATTGCTCGTTTTAAGAAATAAACTTCCTATCCTGCAATTCATTTCTTAAAACAAGAAATATATTTCTTAAACTATAAACACTAGATTAACAATATTGCTGTAAATCTTAAAGCAAGAAAAAAATTTCCTACACTGTAATTTATTTCTTAAAACAAGTAATATATTTCTTGTTTTAAGAAACAAATTGGGGGATAAGAAATTTATTTCTTAAACAAGATAAATATTTCTTGTTTAAAGAACTAAATGTCTTAAAATATGGACTAAGATTTAAGATTTTGCTGTGAAGAAATGCTACTTGTAATACTTTTCATCAGTTAAAGATTTATTGTTCAAGATTTATTAGTTAAATCTTATGGATTACTTGGCATTAGTTAGAAACTGTTTTAAAATATCTTTTTTCTTCTTAAATTTTTTTTTTCACATTACTTTGTTAGAACTTCAATGAAAAAAAAATTTTCTTCTAAAAAGAAAATATATACTTTTATCTCTTTTTCTTTACGTATGAATGTATCTACATATAGAGTATGCAGTGACTCCTACATCAGCACAACTTGCTCATTTCCAATTAACTCTAATTGATTCCATAGGCAATCATATATCCTGCAATTGAAGTGCAATCAGATGGTTTCAGAAAATAGAGAGTGTGATCCTTCATATATTGCTATCAGATCTAGAAAACATTGTTTTATTTTATGTTGCAGATTTTAAAATATTTTAAGATATTGTTAAAAACATTTCATATTTTTAAATTTTGCTTAATTATATCTTTAACTATAAATACTAATATATAAATAATTGTGCAATTTAAATAAATTTTTGGGATAAAATATCTAAAACACTAAAATAATAAATAAGAAAGAAATATAAGATGCAATTTTGAAATAACAAGTAAAACATTCCTAAATTTTATTTGTATAAAAATACATAGTTTATACACACACACATATAATATATGTGTGCATAAACTATGTTTTTTATATAAATACATATGTATATATACATATACTATATGTATGTATGTATGTATGTATGTATGTATGTATGTATGTATGTATGTATGTATGTATGTATGTATGTATGTATGTATGTATGTATGTATGTATGTATGTATGTATGTATGTATGTATGTATGTATGTATGTATGTATGTATGTATGTATGTATGTATGTATGTATGTATGTATGTATGTATGTATGTATGTATGTATGTATGTATGTATGTATGTATGTATGTATGTGAAGCACTTGTATAAAGAACTACAATATTTTAATTCTTAAGTTTTTCTACTCTAAAATAAACATAATCATAATAATCAAAACATAAAAACATAATCTAAAATAATCAAAACACAACATTCTCTGCAGCCATAATACAAACAGAATACTCTATAATACAAACAAGGTTTTTCATGTATCTTCTTCTATAAGTCGTAATGGTCGACAAATTGCTCTTGAGGATCTACGTGTGTCTTTTCCAGGTGTTATTAATAACAATGGACTGATTGGACAAGCATCATTGACAAGATTTTCAGCTGGCGGAGGTTGATAAAGGGGAGGCTGGTTAGGAAAGTTTTCAGGATTGGTATTGGTAAGTCCATATTTCTCAGGTGTTAATGGTTTATAGGGGTAAGAAGGTTTATTAAAAGCATTCTCTGGTGAAGGTTTAATATTATTAAAGGCATTCTCTGGTGAAGGTTCAATATCGTTTGTTTGATCAATGATCGGAGCAGAACTTGTTGGAGCTAAGTGTCTTAGGGAAACTGTGGTTTCTCTTCCATCTGGATACTTTATGTGAGCATATTGAGGATTAGCATCTATGAGTTGCACTTCGTCTACCAGTGGTTCATACTTATTATTACGTAAATGTCTTTTTATTAGTATTGGTCCAGGATGACTTAACCATGAAGGTAAAGTGCATCCAGAGGCTGTTTTACGAAGGTGCTTAAACATTCTTTCATGAGGTGTCTCCATTGTTTTAGTATTTACTAAGGATCTTATAGAATGGAGAACGTCTGGCAATACTTTTTCCCAAGCTTTGATGGGTAAATTGTGTTGTCTAGTAGCAATCTCAATAGACTTCATTATAGTTCCATTATACTTTTCGGCTTGTCCATTCCCTTGTGGATTATATGCTGTAGTATGACTTGTCGCAATACCTTTCTCTAGTAAGTATTGTTTTAATTCTTTACTGATGAAGGCTGAACCTCTATCGGAATGGATGTAACTTGGCAAACCAAAAATCGAGAATACTTGTGACAAACACTTAATTACAGTCTGAGCTGAAATATCAGGGCACGGGATTGCAAAAGGAAAACGAGAATACTCATCAATTATGGTTAAAAAATACTTGTTATTAGTTTCCGAAGGAAGGGGTCCTTTAAAATCTAAGTTCAAACGTTCCAGTGGTTGTGTCGCCTTTATCAAATTAGATTTTAATGGTTTGTAGTATCTAGGCTTACATTCACAACATAGTTTGCACTGATTAGTTATTCGTTTAACATCATCAATTGAGAAAGGTAAATTACGGTTTTTAATAAAAGCATAAAACCTAGTTACTCCAGGATGACAGAGTGATTGATGAAGCTGAATTAAGTTGTTAGTGTTTATTGCTGAGCAATGTATTCTAGAAAATGTGTCAGCTGGAATATTTAGTTTCCCTTCCCTGTAAACAATGTCATGATAGCACGATAGTTCAATTTTCCATCGATAAATTTTATCATTTTTAATCTTTGATTTATGTTGCTTTTCGAAGATATAGGATACAGGTTGCTGATCAGTAATAAGTTTAAAATGGCGTCCAGTAAGGTAGTGTTTCCAATGTCTGACTGCTTCTATTATTGCGCAAGCTTCTTTCTCAATAGAGGGATGTTTGAGTTCAGATTTTTGAAGTAATCTTGAAAAGAAAGCTACAGGGCGGCCATTTTGATTAAGAACTGCAGCTATAGCAATGTCAGATGCGTCCGTTTCTACTTCAAATGGAACATTTTCGTCCACATAATCTGTCACAGCATTTGCAATGTCTTGTTTGAGTTGATTGAAATCATTTACACACTGATGATCTAATGGGTACTTGGTGTTTTTGGTAAGAGAAGCTATCTTATCGGAAAAGTTTGGAATCCATTTAGAGTAGTATAAGAATAGTCCGATGATACGCTTCATAGATTTAGCATCATGAGGAGGAGGCATTTCTTTCATAGGTTGAAGACGACTGGGATCTGGTTTGAGTTTTCCTTCTTCTATAAGATAACCAAGAATGCAAATTTTATCTTGGGAAAAGCTACATTTATCATGATTATAAGTAAGATTTATATTTTTAGCTGACTTGAGAAATTTTTCCAGATTAAGATCATGCTCCTCTTGGGCTTTACCACATATTGTCACATTATCTAGATAAGCATAAGTATCTAAAAGTCCTTCCTTTTCTATAAATTCGTTTATGGTACGTTGAAAACAAGCAACCCCATTTTCAATTCCAAAAGGCATTCGCTTAAATTGGAACAACCTCCCATTTGCTTCAAAAGCTGTAAATTTTCTATCATTTTTGGTAATTGGAATTTGATGGTAGGCTGATTTCAAATCAACTGTACTAAATATTTTGTATTGAGCAATTTTGTTTACCAGATCATCAATCCTTGGTAATGGGTAAGCGTCTAGTTGAGTATACTTATTTATTGTTTGACTGTAGTCAATAACTAATCTTTTCTTAGAGCGTTCTCCTTTAGTTACAACTACCTGAGCTCTCCAGGGAGAATTTGAATGTTCGATAATGTCCTCTTTAAGCATACGTTGTACTTCCATTTCAATGAATAATTGGTCTTCTTTGCTATATCGACGAGATTTTGAAGCTATTGGTTTACAGTTAGGCGATAAATTGCCAAATAAACTAGGGGGAGATACATTCAACTTCGACAAACCACAAATTTATAGTGGGGGTCTTTTTCCTTCAAACTTAAGGGTTACAGCTTTGTGTTGTTTTTGAAAATCGAGACCCAGAATAACATCCATGCATAACTCATTTAAGATGTTAAGTTTTACTAGTTTATAATGCTCATTTTTTATTGAAATATTGACAAAAACTACTCCACAAACTGTACTAGATAAAGATGATGAAGCCATAGATACCTGTTTTTGGTTTTGTCTATGAACTGTTAGGTTTAGTTTTTGTACCAATCGAGGGTGAATAAAACTATCAGTGCTACCACTGTCAATGAGAGCATTTACGAATGAACCATTAACCAACATGCCAATTGTTGATTTAGTCAAAGGTGAAATGGAAGCAGAAATGTTCTTTAAATTAGTTTTATGTTCAGAGTAGTCTAGTCAAGTGAGTGAAGGATTGTATGAGTTTAAAGGTTGATCAACAAGATTCATCCCTGCTGTTGTAAGTTTAGAAGATTTACATAACTTGGCAAAATGACCAACTTTCTCACATTTAAAACAAATCGACTCTCTAGCTGGACAGACAGCTTTAGCATGTCTTTGATTCCCACAGTTCCAGCAATTTGAAACAGAATTTGAGTTAAATTGCTTTGGCTTTTTTGTTATTGCAGCTACTGTTGTATCTGATGTATTATACTGGAGGTAATTTTCAGCATTTTTCTGCGCTGATTCCAAGGTTCTAGCTTTTGAAAATATTTCATCCAGACTTATTGTACTGTTTTCTAGTAGTCGCTGTCTGACAACCTGTGAATTTATCCCTGTTATAAATGCATCTCTAATATATTCATCGCGATAT